TTTTAACTGCATTTATTTGCTTGGACTCAATAATGTCTTTAGTAGTTAGTGGCTGCATAAGACTAAATCGAGATTTAAGTTCGCGATTGAGCAAAAGTTTTGATGGAGATTCATTGGTTGTGCAATGTTTTGTGATTCGGTAATCAAATAGAAAACGTTGTAAAATTACATCAAAATTATGCACTTCATTTTGTTCTAAAGTTGCTATAAGAGATTTTTTTATTGTTTTCACAAAATTTTCTGCTTGTCCGTTAGTGGACGGATGACCTGGTGCAGTGCGACTTAATTTGATTCCATTTGCTTTAGCAAAAGCTTGAAACTCCAAAGAAGTAAATTGTCTTCCGTTGTCACTGACCAGTACATCACACAACCCAAAACGACTGAAGACTTCCCGCAATTTATTTATTGTGAATGTAGCAGTTATGACCTTTGTTTTGAAAACTTCGGGCCATTTCGAAAAAGAATCAATTATCAAAAATAAATAATAGCCGTGGACAGGGCCAGCAAAATCCACGTGAATACGTTTCCAAGCTGAATAAGTTGGTTCCCATGGAATTAAAAAACTTTTCTCCGGGTTTGCTTGGTATTTTTGACATGGTTCACAAGTCTTTATCATATTCTCAATATCTTTATCAATATTTGGCCAATACACATATGATCTAGCTAAAGATTTTGTTTTAACTATACCTAAGTGCGATTTGTGTAATTCTTGTAGCACGTTTCCTTGTAATTTACTCGGAATAACCGTACGATAACCCCATAAAATGCATCCTGATTCAACAGTCAGCTCAGATGCTTTGGTTTTGAATGCATTAAATTCATTACCACCCAAGTTCAAAAGTGTACCATTTAAAATGGAGTTTGCGACCTTAGAAAGAATAGCATCGCGACGTGTATATTTAGCTATTGCTAGAAAATCTAGCTGAAGCGGATTAACGAAATTCACATAGTTGATGTATGTGCTCTCAGGCTTAGTGTCCGGATTCTCAATTTGACCTATGCGTGATAAACTATCCGCGCTGTTTAAAGAACCTTTAATATATTCGATGGTGTAATTAAATCCAGTTAATATGAACGCCCATCGTTGCATTCGCGCAGCTGCCATTATTGGAATACCTTTGCGATCACCAAAAATAGCGAGCAATGGTCTATGATCAGTTTGTAGTACAAAATGCATACCCAGTAAATACTGTTTTAATCTGATCACGCTGAAGATTATGGCTAATGCTTCCTTCTCTATAGTGCTGTAATTTAATTCCGCATTATTTAATGCTCTAGAGACGTAAGCAATTGGCCTCATTGTGCCGTCCTTGTACTTATGAGACAAAACTCCAGCAATGGCTGTGTTGCATGCGTCGGTGCATAGAACTAATGGCAGTTCCTGATTAAAATGTACTAAAAATTTGTCAGAACAAATCTCTGATTTCATTAATTCAAATGCCTTTTGACAGTCAGAGTTCCATTTGAAATCGACATCTTTTTTAAGAAGTTTGTACAGAGGACAAATTTTTTCTGCGAAATTTTGAATAAACTTGGAATGATAATTTACCATTCCTATGAATGCTCGAAGCTCTGAAATATTTTGTGGTCTTGGTGCGTTCAGCACGTTCTGGATTCGATCTTGGTTTTTGGTTAGACCATCTTTTGTGATGTCAAATCCCAAGTAAGAAATTTTCGTTTTAAAAAATTCGCATTTGTTAACATTAAGTTTCAAGCCAGCTGACTTTAACTTGGTCAAAACCAATCGCAATGTCTTCAAATGCCCAGCTAGGTCAACACCTGTAACCGTTATGTCATCTTGATAGACGAATACATTTTTAATAGATTGCAACAGGTTTTCCATTACTTTTTGAAAAATGGCTGCTGCTGGTTTAACACCAAATGGCAGCCTGGTCATTTTAAAAATGCCTTTGTGTGTACTCCAGGTACATAATTTTTGTGCATCTTCGTCACGAGTTGGTTGTATGCGTTTGACATGTCTAACTTTGTAAAAAGTTTACCTCCTTCCATTGATGCGAAAATTTGATCAATTCGAGGTAAGGGGTATCTAAAGTCACTCAAATATTTATTTATTGTGACCTTATAATCACCACAAATCCGGATTTCTCCAGATGGTTTAAGCAAAGGAACAAGTGGTGTTCCCCAATCTGAATTGTCGACGGAAACCAGCATTCCTTTGTCAACTAACTCGTCTAGTTTTTTCTCAACTGTTTCTCGCCATGCTATGGGTATAGGTCTTGGTTTGAAAAATACAGGAACTGCATCTTTCGAAATTGGTAAAGAAATTGTTGATATATTGTATTTACCCAAACCACTTTGAAATACTTCAGCAAATTCTGCTTTAATTTGTTCAATTATTTCATTATACGTGTTTAAATAATTCACTGAATTTGATTTGGAAGTAACATTACTAGTATTAGAATTCAGACCTAGCTCACCGGAAGAAAACGATTCCTTTTTTGAACTCAAATTAGATTGAGTTAACTCAAAACCTAGGGAACGAAGAAAGTCTCGCCCTAATAAGGTTGGCCTGTCTGTATTTGTAACTACAAATTTACCATAAATTTTTTGTCCATTGAAATTAACACAAGCTTTAAACTCACCAATAATATTAATCAGGTTACCTGTGTATCCGGTGTATGGTACTGAACATTGCTGTAGCACCTTTCGATCGAAATACGCATCGAATGTATTAGCTGACATTAGAGAACAAGGAGCGCCGGTGTCGCACAGCGTTGTTATTTGTACTCCGTTAACCTCAACCTTCAGGGTATAATGATTCAGTGCAGCGTTTCCATGGATGGCATATACGGAAAAATCAAAATCGCTAGTTTCATTCATACCAATGCTATAAATAGAATCAAAAAAATTATTAGAATATTTCTCATGTGTTGAATCAACAAATTGAACATTTTTATCACTCTTAAGTTTACGATTGCAAATGTTTGCCAAATGCCCAACTGAGCCGCAAAAATGGCAAGTGCTGTTCTTGAATTTGCAGGTGTTGGATTGGTGGTTTTTCCATCCACAGTGTGTACATTTCGATACTTTGCTCGCTTTGCTGTTGTTGTTGTTCGACCTTACTGCGTTGCTCTTGTAGTTTTTGTTGTTAAATTTGCCACGTTGTTTGATGTAATTAACTTCAATATCATTGCTTGATTGAGCCAGCTTCGTTTCACGTATTAATGCCTTTTGTAAAGCCTTGGAGAGGGTCAATTTTTCGTCCTCTTCACAGATTTTCTCGAAAATCTTTCCAGGCAGTTCAACCACAAATTTATGCAAAATAATGGTGTCCAATGCTGCACCGAATTTACAATTTACTGCAAGTTTTTTTACCCGAGCAAACCACGCAGATACGCTTTCGCTTTCAGCTCTTTTCGCTGCATAAAATCTTTTAATTTCATTAAAAACGATGACTGGAGGTGTGAATTGTTGTTGCAGTATTTCACACAATTCCTTGTATGACTTTGAACATGGTAGTGCTGGACTACAAATTCCTCGTAAAATGGCGTATGCTTCTGATCCAATCGTTTTCAACAATGTTGATACTCTATCCGTGTCATCACTGCACTTTATTTCCAAGAAATGTAGTTCGAGTCTCTCGTGCCATAATTCCCAATTTTCTGTGATACTGAATTCTGGCATAGACACAGCTTGAAATACTCTCATCTCGTTGGGAGGTGCCATTTCTATTTGGATGTGTAGTTATTTGCGAAATTCCGTAATGAAAATATCAATTACTCAGGTTTTCCAAACTTTTTTATTAAGTTAAATAACTTTTGTTGGTTATCTATACATATAATAAAATTGTAACAGGTCGATGTCTGTACATTATAGATATTAAAGAAAAATTAATGTGGGGGGTCTTTTTTAGAGCACCAGAAGCCAAATCAACCATTTTTAGAATTTTTGTCTGTCTGTCTGTCTGTCTGTCTGTCTGTCTGTCTGTCTGTATGTTTGTTCGCGCATCATTCGAAAACGAATGCATGGATTTGAATGCAGTTTTCACCGATGCATTG